CCGGTGCAGCTCCCGGCATGGAGGTTACTCAAATAATTAAAAATAACCTATGATCCAGCAACCCCACTTAAATGTCCACTGTCAGATAAACTGATAAAAGAAATATAGTATACACATACAATGAAATACTATTCAGCCCTAAAAAGAAGGAAATCCTACCGTATGCAACAAAATAGATAAATCCAGAGAACATTATAGTAAGTGAAATAAGCTAGTCACAGAAGAACAAATATTGCACGATTACATTTACATGAGGTATCTAAAACAGTCAAACTCAGAGCAACAGAAGTAGAATGGTGGCTGCCAGGGACTGGGGTAAGGGGGAAATGAGTTGGGTTTAATGGGTATAAAGTGTTAATTATGTAAGATGAGTAAGTTCTAGAGATCTGCTGTATTATACTGCATCTATAGTTACCAGTAATTTGTTAAGAGGGTAGGTCTCATGTTAAATGTTCCTACTATAATAAAAAAAATTGATGGCATCTTATATTCTAAGAAAAAAGATAGCAACAAATGTTCTCATGTTGTATGTGTCTTGATGGCCCTAATGCTTTCTCATCCCTACACCCCCAAAACTCCACAGGCTCCAGTACTGTGACTTTCTTCTTTCCATGGACCCTTTCTTCCCCAGTGAATGGCACTAGATATCACTGAGTGATGCTCTCTCCATGTCACCAATAACATTTATTTTCAGGTTGCCAATAATAACCTTATTCTTGAAGTTCAACTGTACAGGTCTGAGCCACAACTCTGGCTTTGAACATAAGTAAGGTTAATACAAAGGAAACCAAATTTCAGAAAGGTATTTAGTCACAGAAATGAAGCAATGCCCATCAGGCGCTCCTGATGATGTCAGTTGAGCATTCTTACCTGTGGTTGCCTACACAAAGCCTATCATATGACCAAACTCAGTAATTTCAAGTCTTCTACAGGGACATTTTGCCTGGTGGTGCCATTACTCTTTTTATTTTGACAACTACGCATTTCCTTTTAAACTGGTTTGTATACAAGAGCCGTGTGGACAGGGAGAACAAAGCTTCAAGATCTGTCCCATTAGGTTTAAAGGTTTTGGATTCTGTTTTATAGCTTACCAGAGAGCAACAAATCTAGTTCTATTCAGAGGATTTAATTCACATCTCATTAACTACCTTGGCAAAACCCAACATTAGCTTTGAAAGGCTAATTTGATTAAAGAATTGATGGACATTACTTCTCTCAGACTAATGAAGTTAATTTTAATGGAGGTAATAATGTCTCCCCGGAAGATTACTGTGAGAATAAAATAAGCCAGCTAGCATATTCTAGGTGTTTTATAAATTATGAAATGCTAAACAAATGTAGGTGATTATCACAGATCTGTTTTCCTTTGTTGCAGTTTTTAGATTCTACCTCTTGTTTCTTTCCCTTTCTTTTCTTAACTCTTCCTTAGAGGACTTGCCTAATTATTTAGCTGAGAGAAATCCTCAAGCCTGGTCTGCTAACACCTCATGTTTTCAACCAGTAAACTGACTCAATATCATATTTGGAAGCCTACCATGGACGAGTTGTTATACAAATATATAAGACGTTGAACACATACACGGTTACGTACTACATTCCAGTGAGGCCACTATACACACATTATGAATCAGTATCTGGCTTATACCCAGTTAGACAACTCTTATACTCTTACCCACACTGAGAGCCTACAAGGGTTGGAAACTGGAGACTAGAGGAGCATTTATGGAGAAAATTTGGAAGGAGCTATTGGGGCACTCTAACTCCAAGACGGCTAGGTGGGAGATGCTACCTCCTGTCTCCAGATCAAGAGTGAAGGGCTTCAAATGGACCATCAGAGTATATATATATATATCATACTGGTGTCTGATTTCTTCTTGGAAATTTTAAAGGGTAAGAGACAGAATGCCTAGGAATGAGCCAAAGAAATAAAATGACTGTGTTGGGTCCTGCAGTTTGGGGAAACAGGAGTGCTTCCTAGGGACCTAGTGTGGGTCATGCTACAGAAGGGCCAGGATAGTTGTCTGAGGTCATTTCCAAGTGGTTATCCAGAGTGGCACCCCATTAAATGTAACAATGACGATGATAATCAAGCACATTTGGTCTCTAAAGCCAAATATATTTTTTGGTTATGGTTTTGAGGGAAGGAATTGTCTTATCAATCAGTTGCTTGGATTAGTATAGGCATCACTCTCACAGGACTTGCTGCAGAGTCCATAACGGGTGTCTTTGGATGATTTTACACAGACATGTCTAACATAAGGGAAGCAAGAGAATTCAAGTGTATGCCATATAGACATGGGTTCAGATCATGTGACATTTAGTGATATTTATGCTTAAACCTACTTTGATATTTAGTATGGCCTCAGGTGGGAAAGCAGTATAGACATTAAAAAAATAAAAGGACAGGAACAATTCTGTCCCAAGGTAATATTATGACATGGTATTTAAAAATGATCTGTCAGTATTTTTGCAACAGTTTTCAATGTATTGATTTATACACTGTTGTGTTCATTTTACAGATATATTAACTATGCCTTATAGAGCCATGCTGAAAAGCAGTACATTCTGCCTATTTTAAAGATGGGAAAATTTGAAAGTAAGTTTAAGTAAGTATGAAGATCATACTCTGGTTGGAAAAGGAGATTAGTACTAAGGAACCCATCCACTGAATAAATCCCTGCTTTTATTTCCACTGGAATAATTTTCAAAGCTGTCTTGAATATACTGACATTGTAAGAAAAAGAACCTCTACCCACAACCTTCCTACCCACTGGTAATACCTATAAATGCTCTTATATGTGTTCCCTGGGACAGCTGTAGCAGTTTTACTCACACATAGGAGACCAGATCCCTCCCAAGACTCATGAATTACAAAAGCTGTTTGAGTTCACGCTTTGGTTTCAGGATGAAAAGACCCACAAAGACCCAGCCAAAGCAAAATGGGAGACTTATGGGCTCACATACAAGCATGGCTGGAGGGAAGGTGGCCTTAGGCACATAGAGAACCAAGAACCCAAATACCACTAGAGCTCCTTACGTACAACTCAATGTGCTTGTGTTTCAGCTTGTTTTGTCCAACTGGACCTCAGGTGGCAGGGTGTGTGTGTGTGTGTGTGTGTGTGTGTGTGTGCACGCGAGTAAAGGGGGAAAAAGGGTGTTGGTGCCAGACTCACATTCTTATGGTTTAGTGACCAGAAAGGACTAAGAAAATTAGCTTCCCTTTCATCTCTAGTTTTTAAACATGTGGGAAATGACCTTCCTGGTATATCCTGGGTCATAAACCCTCCCTGTGTATAAACACTGTGGACAAAGGAGAGCTATCAAAAGAGGCATAGTCTGGGCACACACCCAACCCCTTGGCCAAGGGATGAGTCTGCTACCAGAGGAACAACACAGATGCTAAGCAGACTATACTAGAGCCACTTCAAAATGCAAGCAGACTCAACACACCACTGGAAAGCTAATTAATGTACGTGTATCCTAAAAGAATATAAGACAAAAGCAAAAAAATACATATTAATACATGAAGCCTGGGATAATATTTATAGATAAGTGATTGGCTCTGACAAGGAGTAAAATCAGAATTCATTTAGGTAAGCATTTCATTTGTTCTTTCATGAAAAAGTGTTCTTTGGTAAGATAAAAAGAAAAGCAACCACTTGATTAGAAGCCATAAAGTGTATAAACTACTTACTGTTGGTCTTTCCACTAATCTCTAGTGTATTATTACCATGATTGGTCACACCATTCCCAAACAAGAAAGAGGACAATCACACCGATCTATATCAATTCAGAATATTTATTGTATTTTTTAATGTGTTTTTATCCATGGCATCCTTTAATCAAGAATATAAAGTCATCTACTTAGGTTTTACCACTCAAAGTTGGGAACACTCTTAGAATCACATTATCTTAAAGTAATGAACTAGAATGATAAGCAACTAAGTATGCAAATATAGCAACCATCAATAACATACATTTTAGCAAATTATAATTCAACAGACATGTATTATTCTCTGGAACTCATAAATTCCAAGAAGAGTCCTTTTTACCAGTATTGGGACAGTATGCTTTCAATCCTGCACCCAGCAAGCCTATTTTAGATAGAGAGTGTGATACAAAAAATGCCTCTCTCCTCTAATACCATACATGACACAACTGTAGTTGTACCTGAACAGAATGGGAGTTTCAGTGCTATCACCTAAAAATATGCATAAATGCCTATATATACCTGGTGCCAGATGAATGATATAGTGTACTGTACTATGCCTACCTCTGTCTGGAGAACAGCTGTCTGACCTATCTTCAGGGTACCAAGACTTTTCTCCCACTTGATACCTACAATGCTTAGGATGCCCACAGGGCAACTTTCTGAGGACAGGTTCCTTACAAACTCACTCTATCATGTTTCTATTCTTTTTTAAGTTTATTTATTTATTTTGAGAGAGAGAGAGAGAACGTGCGTGCGTGGGCACACACACACACACACACACACACACGTGAGCAGGAGAGAGGCAGAGAGAAAAGGAGAGAGAGATTCCTAAGCAGACTCCATGCTGTCAGCGCAAAGCCCAATGCGGGGCTTGATCTTACGAACTGTGAGATGGAGACTTGAGCTGAAATCTGGAGTCGGACACTTAACTGACTGAACCACCCAGGCACCCCTACCATGTTTATTTTCTAAAAATAAAAGTTCCTTGCCCTTCAAATCCTGGACTTACTCATCAGTATTTCCTCTATTTGGATAAAGGTGAATTAAAAGTGGTTTGTTCAAGGAAGTATCCTGGGCAGAAAAAAGAATAGTGGATTGTAGAAAAAGGTATTCAATATTTAGAAACTTTTCTGAACAGGGGCGCCTGGGCAGCTGAGTCGATTGGGCATCCGAATTCAGCTCATGTCATGATCTCACGGCTTGTGAGTTTGAGCCCTGTGTCGGGTTCTGTGCTGACAGCTCAGAGCCTGGAGCTGCTTTGGATTCTGTGTCTCCCTCTCTCTGCCCCTCCCCTGCTGTGCTCTCAGTCTCTCTGTCTCTCTGAAAAATAAACATTAAAAAAAATTTTTTTAAAAAAAGGAATTTTTCTGGACAGAAATAAGAGAGCCTGAAAAGAAAGAAAAAAATATTTTAAACTCTGTTGTCACTGTGACTGGATTCATGATAAATTATCCCATAGCACTTCATGGCTTAAAAGGAGGTCTTGTAAGAGTAGCCTACTGTACCTCAACCACATAGAGAAAGCTTCTTAAGGACTCCTCTGGATCCTTAATACAGAAATACTGCACTGTTTTAAAATCAGAAACTTGACCCTATCAGTTAGGCTTATAGCCCTCTTCTCATAATAAACCTCAGCCTTTGGTAAAGCACAGATGGTTGGCAGGTTCATAAAGGCAACTTCTTGGTGAGATATCAGCACCAGGAGAACTTACACCCTTTGGTCTCTCCCATGAACCAATTACTTATCTCAAAAAGAGATGTTCTTGCTTGCTTACTGAATGTCTATTTAGTCATGGAAAGTATGGGAGGAGAAGGGATGCTTTAGGGAAACAAGATGCAATCACAAAATCAGAGGCTCTAAAAGAAAAGTCAGAGGAGGCCAAAAGAAAAACATAATCAGTAAGACAGCATTTCTCCTACTCAAAATTCACACAGAATATTGTTCAGGACTAGTGCAATGCTGCCTTGGGTATACTCTGGGTGGAGTTCTTTTTCTCCCTCATTCTTTTTTTCTAGCTGTCATGATTTATACGAGGGACAGAACATCAATGAAAGTCTCCCTAAGGGCCCATCTTGGTACAATTTTGTGTACATATCACAGGAGGTAAATATAAATCCAATGTGAGCACCAATTGTAAAGATACGCCTTCTAAGCAATTATAAAACAAATAAGACAATCATTTATATATTAAAATCTTATAGTACTCTTGAGAGAACAGAGTCTATATGGCTGCATACAGTATAAGATGCTGGAAGAAAACTAGTCAAAACTGCTAATTAGATATACAATTGTGATTACTGATATCCTTTCAATGAACTCCTATGTGGTTAAAATGAGAAACATACAACCTGGGACAAATTTCTATTCCACATTTCAAGTTGTGATCTGCTGCATTGGCATGAGTTTTGGTGAAACCTGGTAAAAGAAAGAAATAAAATGACCAAATTATACAAAACCTCAAGACATAAACATTTCTCTTTTGAATTTTCAGACCCGAATGATGTCAGCGACAAACAGCCTTGCCAGAGCTCACCTAGGGCTTCCTCATTATTCTCCATTCTAAACCGACGAGACAGAAAATGCTCTCCTGTTTACATTGTGGGCATACAGTAGTTCTCAACCTTCTTGCACATTACAGCTCCTAAGTTAAGCATCATGAAGACTGGCAGCAGCAAGGGGGTGGAGGAGGAGCAGAGAGAAATGATAAAGGGTCCAGAAAACCAAGCTCTCGGAATGGATCACTGAGCTCTGAGACTGATGCCTTTGAGAGTACCCGAAATGGAGACTCAGAGTACAGACAAGCCTCGAAATGCTCAAGATAAGTCTAGTCAATTCCCAATTTCGTTGACATAATGTCATCTTTGGATTAACTGGACACATATTAATGAAGAGATGTATGACCAATGACAAATTTTATAAGAAATTTCATAATCAGAATGGAAATGATATAAGGTCAGTAAAAAGATTCCAAGTTATTTTTAAAAAGGAGGTAATAGTGTTAAAATATTTAATGTTGACTAGGTGCAAGTTCAATGTACAGAGCAATACAAGCATTCCTTGAAGACTTGAAGCAGAGAAAAATGAGGACAGGTCTATATTAAATGGTAGAGCTGGTGGAAGAAGAAAGCTAAATGTAAGTGATTTGGCTTAATTGTGACTGATCTTTCAAGGCAATGCCAGGTACAGATGTCTTCATTCAGTCTGGCAAATATCCATGGAGTCCTCTTAAGTAACAGTCCTCACGGAAAGCACACTAGGGGCATACTGAAATCTAGATGATTTTTTGAGCTCTTCAAGAATGAAGCGATTGAAATGGGCCTAGCTGACACTTTGCCTTCAAGAATAAACAGTTAATATTTTGTTAAATTAATGAACAGATGAATGAATAAATGGATTAAATAAGTTTCAAAGAACTAGGAGAAAGGTTTTAATAGAGGTTAAGGCAGTTTTAAAAATAGGAGTAGGCAATTATTTGGCTTTGATGAGGTTAAATATTTTTAGTTTATTTATAAATTGTTTCTGTATTAGCTCTTCACAATGTCAAGAGCTAATGCCCCCTTTTCCATTTTTCTACTAAAAGAATGACATGATCAGAATAAAAAGGATCGGTATGGCTTGGTATATAGCTTAAAATAAATGACAGCTCACTCAGACCTGCCAGTTCCAAGAGCAGATATATAATAATAGACAAAACAATAGACATATAATAAATAGTCAAAAATCACAGCCCACATGTGCATAAATCTTCAACTCTACGGAAAATAATAAAAGACATATGGGCTCTGAGTATTTAGAAAGTGTGTCTCACAAACAACCCATTTTCTTTTTTTAAACAACAGAGCATCTGTAGAAATAATTTAATGAAATGAAACTCTCTATTTTTTGGAAAACAGATCATTTCCAATAGATGCTTTATAGCATTTCCTTTAAAAGGAAGCTGGACACCTTGATTTTATAAACTAAACATCTGATCATTTTCTTTGGCATACTGACCAATTTTGAGCTCTTAATATCATTTATATCCTCATTGTGGACTCTGACTTATGTGAAAAAAGAAAAAAATGAAGTTTTATGTAGACTGACTTTGCCAGTCTATTTTTGTAATGAAAAATATCTACTAAACCACCATTTTTCATTCTGCTCTCTCTCAGTCTCATCAACATTTTAAGCCCCTGCGGGCTGGAGCAGATCATCCTGCCAAGGTGATCTACAGGTAACACAAGACTACATGATTTAGGTGTAGGAGATAAGCCAACAATTTGTTTTCTCAGTCCACTGAAATCCCAACAGCATATGATTTAATTCTGGTATAATGCCAGTTCATAATAGATATTGAGTTTAAATTTATTCAACTTAGCAAAGATTATGTACACCTGGCTTCTTCCAAATTTCACTGTAAACATATAAATAAGCTGTATTCTTACTTAATTCTTTGCCACTAATGGTTTAGATATATTCCTGCCTGGAGAATAAGACCAAGTCCCTTGGGAGTAGGAACTACAACAATTTGTTCTATTTTATTCACATTTTCATAGCTCACTGTGAGACACAACTGGGTGTTCAATAAATAATCATGGTTGACTGATGACCTCTGGAAGTTTATTTTACCACATGATGTTCAAATAGGGATTCAATTTTTTAAATTTAATTAAAAAATAAAAACAGAAGGAAATGCTATTTCAAAAAAAGTCCACAGATATATATGGTAAAAGAAAAAACTATTTTCTGTAACACAAGCATGCATTAGAAAAGAGAGAAATGAATACCCATTTGAATTAACCACTCAGTGGAAAGAGAGACTTTGGAGAAAATGCAATTTAAGTGATGGAATATCATTTTCCCCTTTTCTTTCTACTTTGGCCCATCAAGTAACTGGCAGTAACACACTGAGTGATACACAGAAATCTGACATTTTCATTAGCTTGTCACAGCTTTAATAGGAGAAAATGTTAGCCAACATATTTTCAAAATTACTCTGACCTAGGTTTTTACCCTTTTCTTTATTATGCAACAACCTGGTTGCCTAACCGTTCCCTTCTAAAATGTTTATTTCCAGGTATACATTGCAGACTGAGTGGGCCTTTTCTCAAAAAGGAATTCTGACTAACTTGTATAAAGTTACATATAGAGTAAAATTGTACTTATACAGTAATAATCATATGGAATATCTTCTAAATTATGATGTAAAATCCTTTCTGAATTATCAAATAAAGAAATATTACCCTAAATATAATTTTATTATTGTATGCATTTTATTGATAGCCCAGCTACTAAACAGAACATATTATTAATTAGAGCATTCCAGTCCCTAGCATTACAAAAAAATCAGTCTGCTACATGTGATTTCATCCATCAGGGTCTAAAGACATGCCATTGATCATCAAATCCTCAAAAGCTAGCTCTTTTGTTAAGATGATTCAGCTGATACTACACCTTTTCATTTTCAAGACAACACTAACATGCAAATTCACATCTTATCTCAACAGCCTGATTTGGAGGAAATAAGATTACCTGTCAATGTCAAAAGAGAAGGAGGTGTGATATGGCATTAAAGGAGAAAGCACAGAGATATTTTTCAGTGCATCAAGACATGGAAACTAGCACTTAAAAACAAAAAGCAAAAACAGTAAAACACCTTTTTCATTCTGACTTAACTACATGAATGGAAAAAAACAAAACACATAACAACAGCGGTCCTTTCTTTGTATATTCTCTTTCATAGCAAAGAAATGAAAATTATGTGGATCTCAAAAATGTTACCTGATAAAGAAGAGGTTAACTTACCCACAAAGGGGAAAAATACAAAGAACAGCTGATAGGTAAGAGGAATTGTTTGCTTTCACCACTGGAGTAAGGGATTCTACAGAGTGAAAGTATAAATAGATCTCTTTTTTTTTCTCCCTAAGGTTACTGAAAAGCTAATTAAAGATGTGTTTTTTGTGCTAGGTATTGCTGACAGACTTCTTTTTTCCAAAGGGAAATTCAAAAAAGGTTAATAGACAAAGACCCTCTGACAGTACCAGAAACAGTTATATGTGGGTAATGAATTATGCAGCAAAATTGTTTTTATAGAAATTTGTTATACATTAACAGTTACCAGCCAAGCATGTAGTACCTAAGGAAGAAGTATATGAAATATATGCCTGATTTATCAAATAAGTTTTGCTAAATTATTTTTTCCAGGATGGGTAGCTGCAACATTTCTTCCCCATTATAATTGAATTTCATTTTAACTAGAAGTTCCCTTCTTAAAAATGTATGTGTAAAGGAAATTCTTTCCTTTCAACTTTTCAGACACATTCTTCCTTTATTTTGATTAATATCAAACAGACTGAACCATCCTCTCAGCCCCTATTAGATGGGTGACCAGTGATTTCTAAACCAGCACTTACATTCAAGGGTGATTATATTATAATATTATTCTTTTGTTTTGAAAAGAGATTTGGGGATATTTTAAATGTATACTTCCCTGATGTATTATGTGTTTTGTTAAGTCTGAGTTTTTAATGCACTAAGTTTTTCTTTAAATGCAGGATACACCTGGGGTGCCTGGGTGGCTTAGTCAGTTAAGCGTCCGACTTTCGCTTAGGTCATGATCTCGCGGTTCGTGGGTTCGAGCCCTGCATCGGGCTCTGTGCTGACTGCCAGCTCAGAGCCTGGAGCCTGTTTCAGTCTGTGACTCCCTCTCTCTCTGACCCTCCCCTGCTCACGCTGTCTCTCTCTCTCCTAGAAATAAATAAAAACATAAAAAAAAAATTTTTAAATGCAGGATACACCTATTTTGTGACTAGAACTCAGTGTCAGAGCTCAACGTTCCAGCATGTTCAATGGATGGAATAATCAGGCATCAAAATTAATAAAAGAGAAAGCCCTAAGTCGTAGGTGGGTTTAAAAATAAGGGAGCATCATTTCTCCGTGTGGCTCACATCTTAGAGTTAAGGGAGTCTAGCCACAGCTGTTGGTACCCCAAGAACAGAGGACGGTAAGGGACTTCACAGAAAGCAGCTTCCTGTTCAAACTCCACCTTCCCTTTCCAGCCGCCCCTGGTGGTCCCTCCCCCTCCTGCTTCAGACTCCTGAGCCGAAGGCTGGCCGTGAGTCAGAGCCCGTTCCTGCTCCCACCTGCTCTCGTCTGGAGGCACCCTTCCTTTCACTCCTGTTCTCTGCAAAGGTCAACTCCAAAAATGATCACAAATTAATGGTTCATGTCCTGTAAACACCCATTAATCAAGCTCATGATATAGGACAAGTGGCTGGATTTATTCACAGGAACACTTACTGCAAAATCACACCCAGTGCTCTTTTTGATGTCATCCACGGTCAGGCCTTCCCAGAGTTCAATCAGAGTCAGTCCTTTCTTGCTGTCCACGTCAAACACAGCCTGTCGGAATCAAGAGAATGACAGTGACAATTTCTATCACAGTAATTATTTTATGACACAAAACAGAAACAACCTCTCATGTTCTTAAAGGAGAGACAAGACCAAAGACAAAAGACTCTGAAAATCAGCAATGAGGAAATGTCAGCTCTAACGGTTATCTTTGGTGAGAATACATGCCAGCCCTCTAATCGGCAATTAGTTGTGCAGCACTGTTGATGTCAGAAGATAAATGAATGTCCACTACTGATGGCACTTGCTGCTACTATTATAACCAGTTTTGAGTTTTTATTTTTATTTTTTTATTTAACTGCTTTCCTTTAGTTAGGTCTAACACTTCCGGTCAAAATTTCAGTTAGAAGAATGATGATGATTTGAAGGAAAAAAGGAATGAAGAAAGGGAGGAAGGGAAGAGATACATGGAAAGTGAATGCACAAGGATGGCGAGGAAGAGCTGATCAATACTGATACGTAAAGAGTTACAGGAAATAAAACATGGCACTTTGAAGTGGTTATGAGTAATTATAAAGGGATAGCTGTCCTGATCCTGAAAGACCCCCAGGGAAATATTAAAACTGCCTTTAAGTCCTGCAAAGACACATAGGTCCAAGAGGACAGCATGAGATTCTCCACTCGGTATGCAAATCAAATGCAGATGCTCGTGCCTAGGACAAGCATCAGAAGGCTACCCTCACATTAACGTTCCTTTACGACATTGTGATTGGTAATGCCAGGAGATGGTAGTGCCCCCTGGTATAGTGTGACGTCAGCCCCAAGACTCAACCTGTTTTATCTGATTTAGGATACCTGCCATTTGTTACCCTCAGCAATATGACATCCTGAGTGGAAGGGACTGACAAAATCATTTAATATAACCTCCCACTGGGGAATCCTTCCAAACATTATCTGAGACGGTCACTGGGACTCTGCTGAGAAGCTTCCCGTGCTACGAGGTTCACTTATCTCAGGGCGGATCAGATGGTCTATGGATAGGAAGCTCTAACCATAAAAGCCCAAAATGCTTCCTTTTGACTTTCACTTGCTGGGTCTACAAGCAATACGCACTGTTTTCTCTCTCGGCTGTCATTACTAGCTTCCTCTCTCCCTGACTTAAAACTTATGTTCCTCATATCCTTCCCCTCTTCCAGATCTACCTTACATTTACCTGTTATTCACAGGCTGATCTTTATTTTCAGCTAGTTTGGAAATCAAACCCAAAATTTGCATTTTAAACACTCTTATTGGTTAGGAGGCTAATATGAAGACACAGCAACCTATAGAGGAAAGAACCCTGGCTTTAGAGCTGGACTGGAATTTCGGCTCTGCCACACACTAGCTAAGTGATCTTTGGTGAACCTGTCTTTCCGTGTGTACATGGATATCAAAAAACCCTACTTCCCAAGATTGTTATACAGGACAAATATAACGAGCATTCTCTGAGTGCCTGACATCACGCTTGAGGCATAGCAGGGGCACCATATACGTGAATGTTCTTTCTCCTTCACAGCTTAACTTCTTGTCACTTGTGTGTGAAGTCAAATCAAAGCCCCAAATGCTTACTAGTCTCCTGCTAATTGACTTTTTCCCCCATGAGCAAAACATTAAGAGGGCAGGTGATACCTGAATTCTATGTTTGATGAATTCATAGACAACCTAGTTGATTTTACTGGAAAAGGTGATTTAAATTTTAGAGGAAATATTCCATAAAACTTCCTTTTTGTTTGCACATTTTTATGTTCCTTAAAAAAAGCCCTTTTTTCAGTAAAAATATGTGTTTTGAGAGGGAAGAAAATGGTCATTTAGGAATGCCTGTATGCTACAATAGGTTATTTAATTCCAAAATAACAATTTAAAAAATTTTTTAAACGGTGATTTTTACTTTGTAGAAAATGTGTCTGGAGCATTATTCATACTGATTTTCTTTTCCTGCATTATGAACTGTAAATTTATCAAAATGGAACAAATAAAAAGAGCCTCTAGATTATATTATTAAGAATGGGAAGGGAAGGAATTTGGGGAAAAGATAACTGTGGTGTCATGAATATAAGCCTTCAGTGATCAGAGAGAGAAAATCTATGGCAAATCGACTTACTGGTTTAAAAAAAAAACTTTTAACACCTTTATCAAACCCTAATTAGCTCTCAAGGTCATATACTGGAAACCCAACCATCTATTATTAAAATGAAGGAAATTTACTTTTGAAATATTTAGGAAGATTTCCATTTAGCAGTATAAAGTATAAACAAAACCTTGATAAAAATGGAGACCATATTATAGATAAAGCATTTAATCATAGCCCAGCTGCTGGCGAGGAAAGCATCTTTCATAACCTCATGCTAGCAGTACAAAACTAGGAAATCAGGGTCAAAAATCTCCAAAGCCTCTTTCAAAAGGCAAACTAATGGAATTTCTTTAGAAGTTGAAAATGCAATTCTAGTCACATATCTGCAGTGGCAGGCTCAACACATTTATTGCCTTTAATAGCAGTGCATTTTCATTCAGTCATTCAACAAATATGCATTAGAGCACCTAGTATGTACACAGCCACAGTGGTAAATGTGCACCATTCCCTTCCCTGAGGTTCCACAGTTGCCTTTCACTTTGCCCATTTTTAGCTATCCAATGTATTCTACAGTAAAGACTTCCATTATTCCCACAGGCTAATAACTTCCACAAGTTTGGTCCAATACTGACTTCCCTTCTGAGCTCCAGGTCCACATCTTTAATTGTTTATCAGAAATCTCTGACTGGACGTTCAGGATGTTAATGTGTTCAAGAATATCAAATTGGGTGTGTCCAAACTGAACCCAATCTTTTCCTGCCTCCCACCGCTCCTCCCTGTCTCTTCTTACAGCCTGAGCGTCGTTAGGAACACTTAGGAAGCACCTCTGCCTTAGCAGCCTTGTCCAATTCATCATCTAGCTAGGCTGAATCCATCTGGGTCTCTCAAATCCCTCCTTCTGACCTATGGTTTGGAACCTTGACACTTTCTGGCCTAGATCACTGAATGAGTCTTCTGACCAGACTCTGTCTCATCTCTTCTCTCCCGACTCTGCATAAAAGCTACAGTGTTCTTTCTAAAATGCAAATCTAATCCATCTAAAATCACTGAAGGGCTCCCAACTGCCTTCCAGATAAAACTCAAAAGTTTTTTATTTTTTTTTATTTCTGAGAGAGAGAGAGAGCGAGAGAGAGCGAGCGAGCATGAGCAGGGGAGGGGCAGAGAGAGGGAGATACAGAATCTGAAACAGGCTCCAAGTTCTGAGCTAGCTGTTGGCCCAGAACCTGATGTGGGGCTCGAACCCATGAACTGTGAGATCATGACCTGAGCTGAAGTTGGACGCTCAACCGACTGAGCCACCCAGGCGCCCAGAACTCGTTTCTTAACAAGGCATTCATATTCCTTTATAATTTAGCTCTTCACTGTCTTTTCAACTGTAGCCTTCAGGGTTCAGGGTCTGGTCCTGCCCTCACTCTACACTGCTCTGCTGGCAGGTCCTTGGGTTGGCTATTTATTCTTTTTTTTTTTTTTAATTTTTTTTTAATGTTTATTTATTTATTTATTTCTAGGAGAGAGAGAGAGAGAGAG